TTTTTAATGTTCATATAGAGATTTCTTTAACTGAAATACTGAATAGTTTGTCTGGTGTGAAAAACTATAATAGTACACAAGATCTTAATGAGATAATTAATAATGTGAAATAGGAAGTAAAGGGCTAAAAGTGTAGGGAAAGTGGGAAGGGTGGGAGAAAGATAATAAGGGAGAGGGAAAAAATGAGAAAATGAAAAAATGGAAATAAAGTGTTTGTAAATGGGGAAGGGAGGAGTGGGTGAAGGGAGGGCAGGGATAAGGGGAAAAATGAGAATCAAGACATATCATGTAAAGGTGCAAGATCCCAATAATGAATGCAATTGTATTGTATACCTAGATTGTACCAATAAACTCAATAAAAATTAAAAAAGCCACTGGATAAAGTTAAAAAATCAGGCAATTTAAGATTATAGAATTATGTTTTCTTTCTCACCAGAAATCACTATTTTTCACTCTAGTGTTTAGAGCATAGGAAGTGGATATATCATGGTAAGCCATCTATTACATTTATGGAGTGTTTTATGATTTCTAATATGATTAGAAACTCTTATCTCATGCCATTCTCTATAAACCTGGGAGACAGCAATGGAGGAAATATGTGAAGGGTTTTGAGAGTTTAAGTGATTATGTGGCCAACAAAACTCCTTTCCTAGGTTCAGTACACTCATTTGTATGTTTTGATGCAGCTCCAACAACTGGAGAAAGATGGAGAGTCTTGTGCTCACCCAAAGTCAGTGTCGTACATGGAGATCCCGTTCATGATCTTCTCCTTGGTGCCCATGTCTCCGCAAGTGGGGCTAAAAATCCACTTTATTCACAAGACTTAATTACAACACCAGAATGACCTAATGATAAATTACTTTTTATTTTCCATAAAATTCTATGTATTTTCTCTTCTGTGCCATTTTCCTCATTTTTATTGTTTAGGAAGGATGGACCACAGCATTTGGCTGTCTGGAAAATAGTAAAACTTGTTTTTGTGGATTACGATCAAAGAGCCTTTATATTTATCAGTGCCACCCTCAGTACACGAATGCAAAAAGAAATACATCATTGCAAACTCAACAGGTGAGGTGCATATATCTTTATTTGAATTTTGTCACTGTTCAGTAACTGAAGCTATTAAAAGAATCACATGACTCCTTGTCTGGAGGAGTCAAATACCAGGCTTTAGCAATGCATGCTTCAGGACCAATACTTTACTGTTCATCTTTTACTCTTTTGTCCAACTGCTGCCAGTGCCTGGCTTTCAAAATTCACCTAGGGAAATACAGTGTTGACAACAATAATGATAGTATTGCAAAAACTTTCCTTTCTTTAAATTTAGCAGTCCAAGTAATTCTTACCAATCTCTTTTACAGAAGCTGAAATGCCTGATTTTGTAATTTAAAGATAACTTCAGCTTTTTTTTTTTATTTTTTTTTTTTTTTTTTTCGATGCTGGGCATGGGGGTAACTGGGAAGGAAGTCATTTAAGGAAACAAAAGACCTTTAACTGCTAGGGGAAGAAACTGGATGTAGGAAGGGTCATTTGTAAGAAGTGCAGATAAATGCAAAATTGCATTATTAATAAGTAACATTACTAGACACTTTTTGCTAACCACTTACACCTCGAATCATTTTGGGGTTCTCTGAGTTTCAATCGTCCTCTGTCCTCTCCTAGTGATGCCCCTTCTCCCAGTCATTGTCAGGAGTTTAAGTGCCATCGTCAGAGAGAAGCGTATTATCTACCTGCCCCCCCCGCCCCCCAGCTTCGCTCTGAGTGACACCCCACCCACGCCTCCCGGCACTGCTCTCCTCCTTCCCCGGCTCCGGAGGGAAATCTGAGGAGCTAGAGAGGGAGCCCAGGGGTCCCCTCTCCTGAAC